AGTCCGATCCTGGACGCTCCCGGCCCGCCCCTCAGAGGCCCGCGGAGGCCCCCAAGCCCTCAGCCAGCCCCCGGCAGCACCGGGGGAAAGGCAAGTGCGCGTCATCCTCCCGTTATTCTCCTGGGAATTTTTGATTCTTGCACATTATGTAAGAAAGGCCTGGTCTACTTTAATAAGCGTTGGTAACGAAACTACAGAAAATTCAGAAAATGCTAGCGCCCCATGCTTTGAAAATTCACTATTCCCCCTCTATTAGCCTCAAAAGGACACTGAACAAAAAGGACTTATCTGCCCTATTGTTCCATTTATGGTGTGTACATACATCTGTGTACATTAGGAATAAAAACTACAAATATGATGACAATTATCCATAAATGTATACATGCATAATATAAATATATTATGTAACATACTTTATTCATACATTCGCTCATAAAAATCACTTTAATAATTCTCAAGTGCCAACACCCATGTGATAGGGTCAAAACTTGTATGCCAAAAATTGTGTGCCTAGTATAAGTCAGACACCATGCTAGGCACTAGGAATAAAAAAAAAATTTAAAACACTGAGTAAGGCAGGATCCCTGGGTTCAAAGGATTTATAATTTACCAGTGAATCAGACAAGCGAGTCAACAGCTAGAAAAGCAAAGTAGATTACGATGCACAGATGACACAGGTGCACGCCAGTCCTAGGGAGACATTAAGGGGGTGGCCATAGGGCCAAGGGGAAAGGCTTCCGGAAGAGCTGATGCTGGGGTTCAGTCACGCACAGTGAGCTAAGCCAAAGGCGGGAGCTTCCAGGCGAAAGAAGCCTGCGCGGGCAGGCCTGGGAAGCAGGACGGGCTGGAAAACCGTGGGCGGCTTTGTGCCAGGACACAGGCAGTGTGGCAGGGGGTCTGACGGGGCAGACCGACTATGAGAGGTCCCGTGCCCTGAATTAGGAAGCCAGCCGTGTGCTCGGCAGGCAGGGGCCAACGGCTGACAGGTTTGAGGCAGAACAGCAGCAGCAGTAAGTAGTAACAGTGATGGCCAACGTTTCCTAAGCACTTAGAAAGGGTCAGATGTTATGCTAAGAGCTTTATATGTATTAGCGCGTATAGCTTTTCTTTTTTTTTTTTCCTCCCCCCGAGCAAGTACCAAACACTTTATTCCAGTTCCTGCTAAGCAGAAGGACCTGAAGAAAAACACCCCACATTCCTGACCCAAACATCAATCTTCTGAAGAGGGGCAGAGGAAGAAAATTCAACTAAAATGATGGTTTTTAATGGGAACCAGAGATATGGTTACAAATACATAGTCCGACACAAAAACCCATGGGCGATCAGGAGTTGGAAGGTTTCAAAATAATTAGGGTAGCACTGGATGTGGAAGAAAAGCTGTTCCAGAACCCCAGCGGGCAGGCTAATATGGCCTCTCCCTGCGATCCTGGCTGTGGTCCCCCCTGGGGTCCACCTTTCCAGGGCCAAAGCCACCTCTGTCCCCACCACCCCGGCCCCCTCAGAAGCCCCCACGGTCCCTGCGTTGGCCTCGGTAGCCACCCCAATCGTAGCGTCCTCTGCCACCGCAACCATCATCTCCATAGCTACCCCCCCTACGAGAGCCTCCTGGTCCCCCTCCTGGGCCATCTGGTTTGGGGGACTTACACTGGTTGCATCCATTCCTCCAAGAGAAGGTCACGTTCTCGATGTAGGATTAGGACCCTTCCAGTCCCCAGCTCGCTGCTGTCCGCCTCCACCACCACCTCCACAGCCTCCACGGCCCACGGGTCCTCCTCGCCCTCGGCCTCCCTGACCGTTGCCACCCCCCATTGAAGTCTGCTCACTGAGTAGCAAATGAGACCTTAACAGGAGTCCCAGAGACTTCTACAGAAGCCTCTCCCTGCAGCTTGCCCGTTTCCCTGTCTGTGTACAGATTAATCGTGGGCTGTCTTGTTTCTTATTTGTCTTAATAACACCAGTCTGCTTGAAGTCATCAGCCACAGACGCAATTGTAACATTCTCGCCCAGACCCTGCACGAAAATGGTGTTGATGTCTGAATTATCCTGTTCAGTCATGACATGATCCTTGGTCCTGAGGGCCACCAAATTTATTGAAGCCGCCACGGTCACTTCCGCCCAAGCCTCCTCTGCCTCCACGGCCACCTCCATGACCTCTGGGTTCATAGCCACCGCTGCTGCGGGTGTAACCACTGCCACCACCCCGGCCTCGTCCCCCGCGGTCCTGCTGGCCTCCCCCGTAGCCACCCCCACCACCGCCACTCTGGTCCTGATTACCATGACCGCCACGACTGCCACCGCCACTCACGGAGTGCTGATCTTGACCACAGTTACCTGCACCACCCCCTCCGCCACCTCCACTGCTACTGTTGTACTGGTTCTGCTGCCCATAGCCCTGAGGATTATAGGAGCTTTGCTGCCGTCCTAGCCAGGCCGCTGCCCACCACAGCCGGACTGCTGACCACAGCGTCCACTGGGGGGCTGCCCATAGCTGCTGCTCTGAGAACTGCTACAGCAACTGCCCGAGGTGCTGCTAGGAGCTGGCTGCTGGCCATCGCCAGGGTAGGACTGCTGCCCATGAGATGCCTGAGAACTCTGGCCACCGCCGTAGCCACCAGCTGAGCCATATCCCTGGGGAGCTGACTGAGTGCCATAGCCTGTGTTCTGATCCTGTCCATAAGAACAACAGGTGCTCTGGCCACAGCCCGAAGTGTCCCCTGACTGGCTGTAGCCACCATAACCCTGCTGTCCATGGGGCTGATAGCTCTGCTGGGAATAACCCTGCCCAGGCTGGATGGGGCAGGCCCCATAGCTTTGGGGTGCTTGTTGGGTATAGTCGTTTGAGGCCATGTCGGCGCACGTGCAACCGGCCAACACATGGTAAGACTCAAGTACCGCGGTGCACCGATGCCTCGAGCATGTGTATGTATTAGCTCCTATAGCTTTTCCACAACCCAATCTATAAAATTAAACACATATTACAGATCATTGAGACTTGGAAGGGAAATGTAAATGTCCACGGTTACAGATCCAGATGACAGGGGAGTCAGACTTGAGGGGTCACCTGGTAGAACTCTCTTTTAAGAACGACCAATTTGACAAGCAGTGTACGAAGTACGGATTAGAGCAGAGCACAGAGCAGAAAGCGCTGCCAGGAGACGGCCCTGAGGAAGGAGGCAGGAAAGCGAGGAGCCTGAGGCAGGGCTGCAAGGGCGCGTGCGGGAGCTACCAGGCCAGGCTGCCGGGGCTGGGAGGCACAGGTGGTGCTTCTCCACTCGCCACTCAGCCGCCTGCAACGGCCGACCTCTCTCCCCCTGCCCTGAGGGGCTGCACCCTTCAAATCTAGGCAGTCTATATCGTGCTCCTCGCTGCAGACGTGCACAGTGCCTAGGACAGCTCCAGGCAAGGAGTGGCTGCATAAGTATGTGTGGAAGGAAGAAAGACGGAAGGAAGAGAAGGAAAAAGAATAAAAATGTCTAGATTTCCAGCTTGATTCAGGTAGCAGTGCCACTGACCATCCAGGGAACAGAACAGAAGGAACAGCTAATAACCAGGGGAGATAAGCTCATATAAATATGTAATAAGTTTTATATTTGCTTTTAAGTGACATTACAGGGTGGGACAAAAGTAGGTTTACAGTTGTTCACATGAAAAATAATAATTAATAATAATACAAGAATAAACTCTGTCTCACGTACTCACAACTGGACACCTCCTTCGGCCCCGCCCTGTGTGCACTACAAGCCGAGGTAACTGCATAGGACTCCACTACCACCTTACCCACAAGCATATGTGGGACTGTTTAGGAAGACTGATTCGGACATTAACAATCACCACTCAAAACATTTTTAAAACACTTCAGTTTTAATCTTCTCAATATACCTGGATGGCCAACAACGAGAAAAATGAGAAGGAAACTGGCCCCTGGCCACTGACGGTCCACTTGACATGGGGCTTGAAGACCAGCATTTCCATGGGCAGCTCAGGAAACCCTCTGTATTTCACCATTTTGTAGATTTCAAAACAATCGATGCCTCCCTTCTCCAGGCCCGCTTTCACTGTCAAGTATCTATTTTATCCTAATGCTGCTGTGAGATAAAATCTGTAGGCCATGTTCTTCCAATTAAATGGAAAATACAGGCGTGGCTCGCAGCCAGGACACCATGAACATCTGCCACCACAAGGACCAGGAGTACGGTCCCCGTGGTTCCTACCACTCCTGCCCTGCTCGGCTAACACAAGGCCAGCGGGGCGGAACCGCAGGCTCAGTGAGTAAAACGTAAGCGACAGATGCGTTTGCCTCGTCCTGAACTCTTACGGCGTCTTCCTCATTACCCTCCACCTGGAGGCGCCCTGCTACCTGCCCGCGCACAGCTCCCGCAGGGGGAACCCAGCTGCTCCTACCTCCTTCTCATTCTCTGAGTCGCTTGCTGAAGTCGCTTTTCCTCAACCATCTCAACTCGCACTCCTGTTCAGAGACCGACACCCACTTCCACATTCTTCCTTCATCAAATGTGTCCAAGTTTGCGACTATGTATGTGAGTGTCTGTATGAGGTAAGGGACCAGGCCCTTCTGCTCACGGTTCTACCCCTAGTCCCCAGTGATGATTCATATACGTAAAAGACACTCAGCAAATTCTTGCTGACGATGGCAAAGAATGATCAAATCCCAGATAGTCTCTATCTGACCAACTCTTGGCTTACACCAAAACGTTTATTTCTTCATTGAATTTTTTTTTAAAAAAAGACTGGACACTTGCAAATACTTTATCACAAAACTGGCTTAGACTTTTTAAAAAGTTTCAATTTCAAATTTCTCCAAAATGCATATCCTAAAGCAAAATTAAGGCAGCAAATCAGTTAAGATTTTTGAAAAGTATTTTAATAAGCAGTTTTAATAATCTTTGTTATAAATATTTAATATCTATTCTGACTTTTGAGAGATACTATAAACTATTACAGATTTGAAATTTTCATTTTTTAGATATTTTGGAAACTCTTACCTTGACATTTCCCAATAACAGATGTAAAATCATCTTTTGCAGACCTGCAACAAATGTACAAAATTAAGGCAATAGTTTTATCCTAACAACACTATTGTGTACTACTATGCAACAGCACAGAGCCTACAGACAGGGACAACTTCTCTATATGACACGAAATCAGTTCTATGACTCAGATAAGACCCTTTCATTAGTGACAATATTTTCTTCCGACATTTCTTCATCAGAAATGGAGCTATTCCAGGAATTGAGTGATATAAGCACAGTGAGTTTAAACATGGAAACAACCATGTTTAGATGACAGGATAAGATATGGTGCATATGTACACTGGAATATACTACTTGGCCATAAGGAAAGATGAAATACCGCCATTTGCAACAATACAAATAGACCTTGAGAGTGTCATGCTAAACAGTAAGTCAGACAGAAAAAGTTAAGAACCATGTGATTTCACTCACATGTGCGACATAAAAGTTAAAATAACAAATGAACAAAAAAGACAAAAAAACAAAACCTCATAGACACAGACAACGTATGGTGGTGACCAGAGGGAATGGGGACAGTAAAAGGGAAAGGGGGTCAAACTCACGGCGACAGAAAAAAATTTGGCTTTGGGTGGTGGGCACACAACACTATATATATATGATGTATCATAAAAATGTGCTCTTGAAACCTATATAGTTTTATTAACTAATGTCACCCCAATAAATTTAATTCAAAATTAGTCACACCATATGCAGAACTCTCAAAAAGATGCATTTCACATTACTGCAACAAATGGAAGAAATTCCAGCCCATTCCAATAATTGAAGTTCAAATACTGTGCCAACATGATGCTTAATGATGCTGTTAAAAAAGAGGAGCCTGTCTCTTAACGCCAAGCCAAGTTAAGTCACGTAGTGCTGAAAGGCTTTCATCATTGCCAGTCATTTTTTATTAAGTCATGTTTATTCTATTACAGTTGCCTTAATTCTTCCCGTTGCCCTCCTCCCCCATCCCGCCACGCCTGCCTCTCCCACAGTCAGTTCCCACGCTGTTGTCCATGTCCATGGGTCATTCATACATGTTCTTTGTCTAGTCCCTTCTTTCCACCATTGTCTTCCTTCCCCCTCCCCTCTGGTCACTTTCAGTCTGCTCCATGTTTCCTTGCCTATGGTTTATTTTGTTTCTTAGTTTATTTTGTTGAATAGATTCCACTTACAGGTGAGATCTATTGTCAATCATTTTTGTCCCGGTGGTTTTAAGAGGGACCAAGGAACCACCCCATTGGAAGTCTATACTGCAATGGGCATAAACCCTTGGACTACTCCCCAAAAAGTTGAGGGGCCCAGTTCTGTTTGGATAAATGGAAAGAGAAAGACATTTTACAACATAAAGCTAAAACCAGTGTGGTCACAGCTGAATTTTCATTAATACTATTGTTAGTCAAGAACAACGAAGCAGCAGCAAAATCTCTGACTGGTATCTGTCCCGGCATCCTGAAATTTCTGCCTCGTTGCTATTTTTTGAGAACTAGGAGTTAGGCCTTACCTGGAGAAAAGAGTCGTCCCAAGCTTTAGAGAGACCACACATTTTGTCTGCTGTTCTTAATGTCCCAAAGAATGAACTCGTTTTCCTGAGTTAGTGCTATTGTTATACCTCTTTCATAACTGATACATTAAACAGAAATAAAGCACACAGGAAACCCAGCTTACAGGAGACTTCTAGATGTGTATGTGATGCCACTGAGTGTCTCAAGAGGACAGGGAATATCACTGGTCTCAAGTGAAATGAAACCTTGGTCTCATGCAGACCCACAGTCCACAGCTTTATGCTGACAGAACAAAGTGGCCCCTACTTTTTCATACCTTCCTGAGCTACATCTTCCTGAGCATCTGCTTAGCTGACGTCTCAGCATACAATCAAATAAGAGTGATTCCCAGACTTCTGGGAAATGTGTACCATCTACTGAGACAGTGAAATTCTTCAAGGGACAGAGGAATGATCTGAGAAAGCAAAAAGACAAACATCCTCCTCTAAGAAAATTCCCTGCATCCTTTAATTGGCAAAATTGATGTTTGACACCTCACCAAATTATGTAAGTTCACAGTAAAATCCCTTTAAATGTGCCCTCTTCAAAATTCTTAGTTCCTACAAATCAAATAAAATGTTCCTCAAAGTAAATTTTTAATATGAATATTAACAATTACCTGATCTCCACACACTGATCTTGAACAGCAGCCAAAAGTTTTCCATTGCTTTTATAATGGAAAAGGAAGAAAAAAAATAATCAGTATGAACATTTGTAGAAGTCTTCTGCACAGCTGGAATGATTTTAAGGAGGTAAAATCATTTTCAAATTTTTTCACATGCTTTGATTATCCTTTTTTTGGACCTTACAATTAGATGAGCATTTGGTACAAAAGCACACAGAATGATTCAAATATAGCTTGAATTAACATGATTAAACAATACTAACCGTATGTGTCAAAGGGAACTTATAAACAATAAATATCAAGATTGCAAGCCATAGGACCCCAAAATTAATGCCATAATGAAATATAAATGCTAATCCAGGTAGCGAAACATTGTATGAGTTTTATACATTCTTACCTTGCAAGGACCAAATGCCAGTTTATCTGTTTGTTAACCAAGCGAACCAGTCCATCAGGGAGCAAAAAGGGTGCAGGGCTGAAACCACAACACATCAACTACCTTCAAATCTAATCATGAAAACCATACACACACCCCACACACCACACAGAGTAAGAGCAGAAAACACTGGAGCAAGTCCTAAAGAGCCAAAGGTCTCTTTTATGTAACTATATTATCTCTGGAGCTTTTAAGATTAGATGTCCTCAAGGAAAAAGCCACTTGTGGTAATTCCACAAAACAATTCTTACACATGTATCTAAAAGCTGAATTATATTCTGTCAGAATACTCAGTTATTCCTTTTAGAGCTCAAAATCAGCACTGTGCCTCAAAACTCCAAAGAATTCAAAAGTACCCAAGAAATGAAACTTAAGAGAAATTTCTCTGACATACAGAAACTGAATACAGCCCACATGAGAGATACAACAATAAAACAAAAGTTTCTTAAAAGCTTTGCGAGCTACAGATCCACCATGTGGACATTCAAGATAAGGCTGAGACCTCTTAGTAATGACTGAGGGAACAAAAATTACCCTTGGCCTACTAAGATATCCTGTCAGGGTATGCCAAATGTTGGAAAAGTCTATTTTATAAACTGGGCTCAGCTGAATGTCATCATCCATATATCGCAATTCAGTTCTGAAAACTTAAATCATAAATAGGGCAATACTGTTTCTATCTGATGTTCGTACTTTTTCTCTGTGGAATTGGTAACTCACCTGTACCAGATGTATTGGCGTAAAAATAATAAATGATCTGTAATAAAAAGAATAGCAAAGCCAAGTATGAATCAGCTTTTCTTTAGGAATCATTTTCAAATTAGATTTCTTGATGGTAAAAGTCTAGACCATGCTGTAGACTCAGTCATCACAAAACAAAACATGGAGAGTACAACTCTTAAAATAAGAGAATAAATAAAATCTCACATACGCTGTAACTTGTACAAGATCACACATTTGTTTATATTAAATTCCAAGCTCGTGTACTCAAAATTTTCAAGTATTTCCTAATACAAAAAGTCAACGTGATTTGAGATACTGAATTTTGACAAAAAGGATTTAATAAAACAATGCAATAGAAATCACAGTAATCATCCTTTAAAACCAAAGTGTTTTTATAAAAAATTAAAGTAACATTTTATACTTTATAGCAAAGCTTTAAATAATAATATCTAAAAATGGGGAAGTTCATGAAAAACACAATCACTAACATACTATTGACAAATAACATTTTATAGGATCTCATTTAAAATACATGTGTGTGAACATGTGTACACAAGTAACTGTGTAGCACTGGAATAAAAGTATGAAGGATAACAGATTACTTCTGGGTGGCAAAATGAGGAATAATTTAATTTGTGGTCATCTGTATTCTCTAAATTTTCCACAATAAATTTTACTACTTGTATGCATTTTCGAAATTTTCTAAATTTCAAAGCATTTGTGATAATGAAAATTGAATGTGCTAGAGCTTCTTGTATCAGAAGAGAAAATTATTTATCTTTACCAGATGATAAAATTACAAGTAATTTCAAGTACTCAACTCCTTTGAAACTGGATCTTGTCTTTAGAAGTAATATTCACCAGTAGAATAAGGACAGGCTTTAGAACCAGAAAGGCATTCAATCAAATTCCAAATGAATGACCTTGAGCAAGTTTCCTCACCTAAACACATAAACTCCCAACACACCTACCTTGTTGCCCTGGTAAAGGTTTGTAACAATTAATACTGATAAACCCCTCCCAGCACAAGCTCAATGCGGCTACTGCTCAATACTTCCTCAGATCTGTGAGCTCAAAAGTAAATGAGTCCCCAGGTTAATCAATTTGCAATTTGAATAACTGACCAGATGTACCTGAAACATCATGTTAACCACTTAAAACAACCTGTTACTGTTTTTTTACCCTCATGAGAGGACTTTTCCTCCTTGCTTTTAGAGAGAGGAGAGAGAGAGAGAGATACATCAACAGGCTGCCTCCCACACATGCCCACATAAGAAACCCAACCCACAGCCTAGGCATGTGTCCTGACAGGGAATCGAACCTACAGCTCCTTGGTTACGGTACAATGCTCCAACCAACTGAGCTACGTTGGTTAATATTTTCACCCTCAATGTCCCTACTCTGACACTCATACTGTATTTGATTTTCTTCATTTCTTTGAGCACATCCATAATGGTCAATTCAGGCCATGCATTAGCTGTACAGTGCATTAGTGTATGCGTACATATACACACATACATACATACCTACACAGATGTGTGTATATATACATATATATCATGAAAATATATACATATATAAAATTAAACTCAGGTAACATGTATGCCTTTCACTTTCATCAGGGGCTATGTTAAAAGACTAAAAAATATATTTTAAAATCCCTAAACTTTCTAAAACAGCACAGTTAGGAATGAAATGGGGAGAAATTTTCTGCTAACTATATACTTTTACACAGTGAAACAAATAAGCTATACTTACCTCTAATTGCTTTTGTGATGATAAAGGATGCACCATGTTTTCGGTTGCCTCTAGGCTGCAAATTAAAAACATTTACATTTAAGAATTTTCTAGAAGTCCTTATACAATATGTTAAAGTTCTATTTCTTTTGTGAATACTCAGAACACTGGGTACAAATTACCAGTATTTAAAAACTACTTATAGATAGAAACAAGTAGGAGCAGGCCTGGGAATGGTGGGAGTACAAGTGAGCATGTGAGGATGAGTTTTGCAGAGGGTAGAAAGGATTCAGAAATCAAAACGTCAATCCAAAGACAAGAGAAGTCAAGGGCAAAGACCACACTACCCCCAGTTCAGTTCAGTTGGGGGGATACAGAAACCTAAAACAAGTTTTACTTGCAGGAAAGGGGGTCATAGAGATCAATAAATTCATGTCTGGAGGCAAATTTACTGAATGCTGTATATCCACAGAGAAAATGCAACTAAGGCACACACCGATAAATAATTGTTACATTAAACAGCTAAGTATACTAAACACTGTGTGGGCTATACAATTCTAGGTATTACAAATAGTGAGATGTACTAATGTGCTGTTAAAAAAAAAAGAAAGAGGAACAATGGACAGTTCCAAAAGAACATTAAATGTAGACAAATATGGCTGAAAAGCACAAAATAGTTATTTCAATCAACAAACATGAATTGATCATCCACTTCATGCAAGGCACAATTTGGTCCTGGGAAGGGGTATAAAGAAGAATAGAGTCAAAATAAATAAATAAACTGCCACGCAAGAGCCTGTTGTTTGATAGCTGAAATCAATAGAACAAAAAAGAAAAAAAAGCCAATGAGATTTCAAAGCCATAAGTTGATGCTGTGCTTATATTTTTAAATCAATTTATAATATGAAGCATTCTGAAACATTATTGTAATTAATCAGTGAGTGCTAAGGAGTGGAAACTTATCCAACCAACAGCAGCAGCAACTGCTTCCTGCACATAACCTATTCACACCGTTAAAGACAAACAGAAACTAAATAAATACCTGAAAACAATATATATACAGATCTCTGCCAGCCTACAAAACACATTATTCAAGACAAGCAGGAACAGCAGTGCGAAGGAGGTTAAAGAAAAACGACAAACTTCATAGCAGAATGAACAGTTTCTCCAGTAAAGAACCACTTTAAAAAGATTTTGTAAAAGGGAATTTATATGGGCTGGACTCCGTGACCTTTCATAAAAGTCGTTCTCATCTTGCTGCGTCATCTGAGGCTAAACGAGTGACAGGCACATGTTAGAACTCAATAAATATCTGCCGGGTAAATGTGAACTCCTAGTCTTCACCCTGTGCCTGGGAGGTCCTCTCTAGGAAACAACTGATAACCCCAAGGTCCATTTCAGATTACCAAACCCTACGACACCTTCTTTAGCAGAGAACCCAACCCGGGTCAGTAGCGCCTTACTCTTCACTTCTAAGGCATTTTCCTTATACTGCTGTTAAAGCGTTTATTACTCTAGGTGATGAGAAATATTCATTGTATCATCTTCCCTCTAGAGTGCAAGCACCGCGAAAGTTAGTCACCTCTGTGTGTCCTGCACCGGGCACAATATTTGGGATACGAACGGACACATACATACACTGATTAAATGCTTATCTATTGAAATACACAAGAACTGGCACGGTTCAGCTCCGGGTAGGAGTAAAGGTTTGATGCCACGCTCCGTGGCAGCCGGCCAGAAGTTAAGACTCTCGGTCCTGGAAAACTCTGCTACTACAGCTAAGAATCAGACCCGGCCAGCTCGCGGGACGGGACCCCCGGGCGGCAGGTATGAGAGGGACCCCGGAGTCCATCGCTGCAGCTCCCCTCCAAGGACCGCCAAGGAGATAGAACCAGAGCCCGAGGTTCTGCCCGGCGACAACCGCATTCGGAGCCCGGGAGGAATCGCAGGAGCCCGGCCTCCGCGACCCAGGCCCCTGCCAGCCCCCGAGCCGTTGCTAGGGCAACGGGACACGCTTGTGAGCCCGGCTCCCCCGCCCATCGGCACCACTCCCCTACGTGGCTCTTCCTACGTGGCTCAGCCCGGGCAGCGTCTGCGCCAAGCTGGCCGCGGCTCTAGAGAAGCCTGGTTCACCTGTACTTCTGTCTCCGGGGGCCACTCAGTGTTGACCAACAAATCGTAGAGGATCGTCTCCTCCTCGCCCTCCGCGGCGCCCGGAGTAACAGCCGGCACGGACTCGGCGGCCGCCATGGTCGCCCGGGCCTGAGCCGCGGGGGGAGTGGTCCTACGGCATCCCGCAGCGGACAAGCTTCCCCGGCCGCGGCCGCTTTCAAGTCTCAGGGAAGGGGGCGGGGTTAACTGGAGTTAAAAGGAAATGCTAGGTCAACCCTCCACGTCTCGGGGAGGACTGGGTTCAGTTGCGCTCCTTATTAATCTGTGTGACACCAGCCAAGCCTGAACCTCTCTTATCCAGTCAGCTTCTATAAAGTAAAAATGGTAAAAGTCTCTCCCTGAGATGCTAGCTCATCTGTGTATTCGTTGCCTAACACACAGAAAGAACGCCAAGTGTTTTTTTGATGTGACATTACAGATTAGGCTGATAAAAGGTACCAGGGGAATGACGCTATAGTTAGAGTCTCGGGAAAGACAGCAAGAGACGGAGGGTCCGGAGGGGCTTCCTGGAGTAAGTGTAGCTTGTCCTGGGTCTTTAACAACAGGCAGAATTAAAAGGAGATTTGGGCAGAGCATTTCAAGAGAGAGGAAGCGGGGAGAACAAAGACGAAGGCCGAAATATACCGTTGAATAAAAGCAGGCAGCAGGCTGGAGCCCGAGTGGAGAACAGGTGTAGAGGCAGTGGAGTGGGGGTGTTCGGGTGAGGCTGTGCAGGGAGGGGGCTAAAATACCAGCCTCCTTTGCTCACTCCTTTGTTCCTTCATTCACACCGCAAGTGCCTCTGGGTGGAAATCCTTGTGCTGTAAACAGAGCCTATTGTAATTCCAATGAATACACAGGACAATGTACAAAACATTAGCCACCGGGTCACAGTCAAAAGAAATACTAAAGATTTCTTGCATATCTTTATATGGCATAGTATCCATCAAGATGCATTAGGCAGTGAGGTAATGAAAAGCCTTCACTGGGAGCCCAGGCATTCCTTTTTCTCCCAAAGTTAAAGGACCTCTACGCAAGCCCCATGTCACCTGCCCCCCACCCCCACTACTTGCAGCCACATTGGCCTTGCTCTTTTCGAACACAGGAGACTCAGGCATCCACTTCAGGGATCTTGTGTGGGTGGTGCCCCTCTGCTGGGAAGGCTTTCTACCAGATGTTTGTCTGCTTCTCTCCCTCAGCTCCAAGTTTTTGCTCAAATGTCACCTTCTCTCTGAAGTCTACCCTGACTGCTTTTTTAAATTTGCAGCCACCTTCCCTGAACTCCAGCTCTCCAGCTCCCCACTACCTTCTGTATTTTTCTCCTTAGCATTTGTCATCTCCCACAACACTGTTTAATTTGTTCCTTATATTCATTTATTGTCTGTCCCCATTTTCTAAAACGTAGGCTCTGCCAGAGCAGAGTGCTCTGTCTCCTATTCCCCATTTAGATAGTGCAATAGAAAAAAATTCAGCTTTCCACCCGTGCGAGGGGAAACTCCCTTCTTCCCTACTCTGTTTCTTCCCTGTGAGTCTTTTTTTGCTACTCACACAAAACACTTTGCTCTGACACTTCTGGTCACCAAATACGTGGAGATTTTTCCCCCAGAGACAAACAAGCAGTTCTCGGATAACAGAAAGGTCCTCAAGAATTCAGCTCCATTGTGACACTACCCATCCTGAGACAGTCCAAATCCCACAGATTAAAGGCTCAGTCCCACAAGACTACGCATCCCTCCCTCTACTCTCCCCTCCCGCTCCCCCCCTCCACACACACACACTTCAGTTGCCACATGCAAGCCCATGTTATCACCTGTGCTTCTGAACAACCAGCTATAGATCAGAGATTTCGAAGACCTCCTCCATGGGTTTGATTAACTGGCTGGAGCAGCTCACAGAACCCAGGGAAACCTTTACCAGTTTATTAAAGGATGTGAGGAACAGCTGCATGAAGAGGTGCATAGGGCCCTATGACAATATCCCCAGAGTTTACAATAGAGCCTTGAACAGAGCACAGGACAAAATACATTATTACTTGTTGAATAAATGAAAACGGTGCTCCCAAAACCTTTCTGACACATTGCATCTGAAAAGTACTTCTCGCAGCAGCTTTTCATCAAATCCTCAATTGCAAACAGCAGGTATCTCTCCCCACCCCACCAGGGCTGTTGCAGTGCCCAGCTTCAAAGAGCACATCTCACATCACAGGCTGTAGAAGGAAGGTGAGCAGTTGGGAGTGCCATTCACTAGGGAAGCAGGAGGGGTCGCCCCTGGAGGAGGCCAGGGCTTCAACACTGTCCCTTCCCACTTCTGCACACCAAGTTTCCTTCGCCCTTTACTCCCCTTCTCTATCTCATCCTTTCCCAGGTAGAAATCAGATTGCCTTCTGCTTCATCGGCTCCCTTCACTGCCCGTCAGCACAAGCACAGCCAGCAGGTGGCTGGCCGCACCGACAAGGGATGGTTCCTTCCCGGCTGGGAAGGAAGCGATCGCAAATACATCACCAAGAATTGTTGTTTTTCTACCATCATCCCACTATGTCAATTGCCTTATTCATCCTCACTGTTACCCCAGGTACCATAGTTTGTACAACAGAACAGGAAACCTAGGCCCATGCCTGCCTGGCTCCTGGGAGCTTATATTCTGCAGAAAGAAAAAGCACAGGCTGAAAGGACACCATTTAGAAAGTGACTGCAGATAATGGGAGGAGGAGGGGGAATTCCTGGAAGGGAAAGTCTACTACCCCAGGGTGTGCTGAGAGCAGCTGGGCAGGTTACGAAGGCTTCTTCACCATTGTTTCAAATCCAGAGGAGTACGTGGAGGGAAAGAAAATGATGTGACCAGTCGGAGGGAAGAAGGCGGTGAGAATACGTATGCCATGGGAAGAGCTGCGAGGATGGACTACCAGACATAGCGGTTGGAAAGGAAAACGCGGAGATGCGATCACAGTTCAAATCAAGTTCAGCCGAGTCAGAGGAACAGGGAGATTTTAGACAAGCTGGGTGGCTGAAGTCCAATGGCTAATTGGTCCTATTTACACTGACTATGTTGTTAATTGTCCAAACTGAGACCGTTTTGAGAATGAAAAATGATGGTTTTAATAATTATGATAGGAAAACACGAATGAAACAGGATTGTTCTGGGCAAACTGAGATGACAGTCACACTAATCTTTTTTTTTTAAAGTATTTTATTTATTTCTTTTTAGAGGGGGAAGGGAGAAAGAAAGAGGAAGAGAAACCATGAAAGAGAAACCTCAGTCCCTTGCCCGTCATCCATGCCCCCAACTGGGGACTGAACCTGCAACCCAGGCTTTTGTCCTAACCAGGAATCAAACCAGCGACCTTTCAGTCTACAGGATGATGCCCAACTGAGCCACACTGCTCAGGGCGAGGTCACACTAATCTTTAACAGGAGAGTGGTTGGTTTAATGAAAAGACCTTGGGCATTTCATAAGGACAGCAAGACTCTCTTCTTCATCATAATTCTCTTTTCCTTTCCTCCCTCACACATAAGGTGACAGCTATCATTTTTGTCTGCCCAGGACTTTGGCTGCCTGTAGAGAACTGTTCCATTGTTCTCCATTTACCCAAGTCATGTACTTGTAGTGGGGCTGCCAGTCCCTAAACTCAGCCTCCTTGATTCAAGTCTGTCCACTCAGAGCCCCATTCCCCTGACTTCAAAGAGCGCTGGGCTGAGAATGCTTCCCTGGGGCTTGGGGGAAGGGAGTTCAGTGGAAGTGGAGGAGCTTGAAAAATATAAATTTGGGGTTGTCAACAGCCCTCTGATTCACTGTACAGGAAAAGCCTGTCTGCGTGGTAAGAAAATGAAACTAGCACAGTGAGCAAACGACGGAAGAGAGAGGCTTCACCTGACGTTAGCACCACTGAAGCAAGTGACATCTGTGTGCTCCAGTTAAGTGAGCTAGTGCATTCCCCCGAGCTGATCTGAGCTGTGTTTCAATGCATGGAAATTACTGCTCTCTTGATATTTCTAGCTTTTGCAGATCTACCTAATTTAGAATCTGTAGCGTACGGGTCTCTGCAAGGTTGCCTCTGAGCTGAGTTATTAGTTAATAGTATATTGATAGTGTCATTACATTAATACATTGATAGAGTTTATGGCTTACAGGTCTCTTTCATCCTCGCGGCCACTGCCAAGATAAATAGGTAGAGACCTGGGAGAGGGATTCAGATCCCACTTCGCAGATAAGGAAAACTGAAGCTCAGAGAAACCCAAGATCACAACTGAGCCAAAAGTCAAACACAGTCCTTCGGGTCTTGAGCCTGTGTGCCTTTGCTCACACAGAGCACATCACAGGGGGGACAGATGAGCGCGGAGGTGGCTGAAAATGGAAATGAATGGTTTTGGACGACTGGAAGTACCAACAGGTGGAATGGCCGTTCTCCACCTCTTACGTTCAGGGGAAATTAAGCCTCTATAACGGTTTGGTTGCCACATGCTCTCACGGTCATCTAACGAACTTCCTAATGTAGCTGAAGGTCCAGGTCTGGTTTCAAGAGGTTTTAAGTCATGAGTAAGTCATTGTAAAAGGAAAATTATGCTTTCCAAATAACCACAAATGGTAATTCTGTGAACCGTTTAAGAAAATAAGACTAAAAAAGTGAAGAATTCCAGAATAGGCATAATGATAATAACAGCAATAATGATAGCTGCAGTATTTGTATGTACCACAAGTACTGTACCAGGCACTTTGTTATACATTATCTCTGCTCCTCTCTACAGTGTTGCAAGGAAAGGGTTAATGTCCCTATACAGAAGGAAACGGAGGCTCTAAAAAAGTGTGACCCAAACAAGTTTACACACCAGTAGTGAAGCCGGAATTGAAACACAGAATTTGTGTAATGTTGAAATGATCAATAGAGAAGGCACTGTAAAATGGTCATTTTAATGAGACATAATCTAATGTTTTCATAAGCCTTTGATTAGGGGAAGGAAAAAAAACAGAAAAGTTTTCCCATTTCTTCCTATTCTCATCGCATACCAAGTATGCCTCAACTGAACTAAAATATAATTCTCATTCACTCTACTGATAGCTGTGGACATTTCTACCCCAGAATCAGAAAAAAAACTGTGTTACAATATCTCACAGAAATGAATTGTTTTTCTTCTCTTCTCCCATGAAGAGCTATCATTAACTGATACTCATT